CCGCGGACTCGGATGGGCGATAAGCTCGGACGGGCTGGGGCCGTTCTAGAAGTTGGAAATAGGGGGCTGAACTGCTCGAGTTGCCCACTCTCGGACAATAGATCTCAATAGTTAGTCTTCGATCTACTCCATAGTCTGACGCGAAAGAGGAAAATTTGGACCCAATTAGACGTATAAACCTCTCGATGATCAGTGCAGTCGAATCAGGCATCTATGCATGGGCATGAAGCTTTTCCCGGTAACCAGACATAGAGAAGAGGCGATTCTCCGCAAAAATAGAATTGTGGATTCGACGACAGAATCTACAATCGTTGACGACGACCAGAGATGATGATATTCATGACGCGGCGAGAATCAATCATAGTTTTGCAGGTCGAATGGTGGAACAAACCTCGCAAGCCACCAGCGCTTCCACAGAGGGAGAGGTTCTAGACTACCATCACGTGATACAAGGGGACTCCGCGATACCTCCCCGATTGGGAACCCAAACAACTTGCACTGCACTCAGCACGGGCACAGACACTGCACTTCCAATTCTCGCGAGTCGCCACCACCTACCATCCTCATTTCCCTCTTTCACTCTCCCCCCCCCCCCACCCACTCACACACCACCCAAGTTTATCCAACTAATCCGGCATTGCGCGGTCGGAACTCAATTCACAAATCAGAATTTATCCACTGATCATGGCCACCATCCGGCAAATCCTACACTCCCCATTGGAGGGAGCCCTGGTGCCTCACTGCGACATGCAGTGCTCATTTCCTCCTGCACAAGGTGCACCACTGCACAAGGGGGCTTCAAGCCACCCGCAGGCGAGGCGCGACTGTGGTGAAACCGCTGTGTGCTGTTGTCATCTAACCGCAAGCTCGGTGGGGTCGATCAAGCCACAGCCAGTCCTGCTTCCGAAGACCATCCCGACCACCACAATGAAGACAATATAAACGATGATAAGGGAAGACGGTCAATCCGAGACGGGATTGCGAAACGGACCAGGGTGATAGACAAACCGACAGACACACACAAACACACACACACAGAGAGAGAGAAACAGAGGGGTGATGAGCTGTCAGTCACCCGTTTCGGCTGATCATTCTACGGCTCCGGTGCCTGTCTTGGTTCCTATTCACTCATAGTCTTCGGCTGGGATCCACCGCGGCCATTTTCTCCCCCCCTCCAAGGCACGCTTTCGTTGCCAATCACTTTATCAGTATTTCCCGGATGAAGTCATGGGCGGAGAGGGAGGGTAAGACATTCACAGACTGTCAGTCAATATCCCACCGCTATCTCCCCACGATTGTCGCTCTCTAAACAGTCGATCATCTTTAAAAGCTTTCCAAACCAACTTCGCTTTGCCTGGCTAGACTCTAGACCATCGAGGATTCCAGACTTATTTTTGGTTCCGCCGCCCACGCCGTTGTTTTCTTTGGGTTCCTCGCGCACTCCACCCACTGGTCCGCCGGTTCCACGCTTCAAAAGCTTTTTTGCCTTTTTCCCTTTTTTCTCCGGCTACCCCCTTGTCCTTCTCCAGTTTTTCTCTCCTCTTGACGTTTTTCGTTCCGTTTGTGCCTGGCGGCTGTTCTTGTGTCTCGTGGATCTGCATCTTCCCTCTTCCCTCTCTGTTCATATCTTCCCTCCCGTACATACTTCACTTCATACTGCACATACCCGATAGAGATCCCGGTCCTTGCAGCAGGCTGCTTGGACTATTCAAATGTCCGAACCACACCGGGAAGGTGCCTCCTATGAGCTGCTAGATCGCGAGAACAGCTTCGAGGGTCACGATACGGTAGCTCACAATCCCAGCCCCCAGACCACCCCCAATTCTCCTACCTTCCCTGAAGAGGTGACCTCTGCACCACCTCCCAGCGACACTCCGCACGAGACGTCAACGACGAGGCCGACTCGAGTCCGATTCCGCTCAGTGAGCAATCATGGCGAGAGTGCACCGCAACGGCCGCCTATGCCCCGAGCAGACTCCGATTATTCCGTACGCTCGCTTCAATCCGTCCATTCTATGATGCCCACATCAGATTCCGCCGATCTTACCGAGTACTTTCCCGGAGATGGAGAGCCTGGACCCGAGATCGAAGCCCGCGCCTCCCCACCTACCGACGGCGACACCCCCAAGTCTTCCATCGAGAAGGAGGAGCAACCTGCGCATCCGATGTCCGCTCGAGACCGCTGGAAGCACGCCAGCAAACTGCTACGGCAGAAGACCGTCAACCTGGGCGAACGTCTGGGCAGACCTTCGGACGACGACGGTGGTGACCTCGGCGCAGCCATGCTACCCGATGATTTGGAGAGAGGACTTGGACCAGCACTGCCACGCCGTGGAGGGGAGGAAAAGGATCCGTTCGACATTCACAACCACGATCGCGATGAAACACTGCCGCCCCCTAGCGCAGAGGCCCATAGACTGGTGCGCAGCATGACGCAGCATCACTTGCGCAACCGCAAACCTAAGTCTGCTTACGCACGCTCCGGAACCAGCACGCCCGACGAATCGAGTCGACCGGACTCCTGGTATGGGGGAGCCACCCCGCCCCGCCCTGGTGCGGGCGGCGGTGGTATTCTCTCGCAGTTGCTGAAGCTCCATGCCGCGCAGGCGAAAGATAACATGTCCGTCACGGACTCGTCCGACAATGAATCGGTGGCCTCGTCGGGGACCGCTACCCCGCGACGGGACTTTTCGTCAGGGACGGCGACTCCCAAGAAAGAGAAGCTGAAATGGTACAAGAAATCGAATCATCACTCCACCGCCTCGCTGGTGTCCGCATCGATGAACCTCAGTCGGGCGAGTCTGCCGGCCTCTGCCGATACGCTGGTGATGCTGCCGCAACCACCGAAGAAGGGGAAGAAGAAGTCGCGCAAAACCCGGCTGGAGGACGAAATCCGCGTCACCGTGCATATCGCCGAAATCCTGGCGCGGCAGCGTTACATCATGCAGCTGTGCCGGGCGCTAATGCGGTACGGCGCCCCCACCCACCGTCTCGAGGAGTACATGCAAATGACGGCCCGAGTCCTGGAAGTCGAAGGTCAGTTTTTGTATCTGCCGGGATGTATGATCATGTCCTTCGACGATCCGACCACCCGCACCGCCGAGGTCAAGTTGGTCCGAGTCGTGCAGGGGGTGGACCTGGGCCGGTTGGCGGAAACGCACAACGTGTACAAAAATGTCGTCCATGATCTTATTGGCGTGGAGGAGGCTATTCAGGAATTGGATTTCATTATGAAGCGGCCTCCCCGGTTCAACAAGTGGATTCTCGTGCTGGCCTACGGGTTGGCCAGCTGTGCCGTCGGTCCATTCGCTTTCGAAGCCCGCCCGATCGACATGCCCATCATCTTCTTCCTGGGCAGCCTTGTCGGACTCATGCAGCACGTCCTGGCCCCGCGCTCCGTTCTGTACTCCAACGTGTTCGAGGTCACCGCGGCCATCCTGACCTCCTTCCTTGCCCGCGCCTTCGGGTCCATTCACCGCGGCAAGAACGCCGACGGCTCTCTGAATTACATCTTCTGCTTCTCCGCGCTGGCGCAGTCTTCCATCGCTCTCATCCTCCCGGGATTTATGGTTCTCTGCAGTAGTCTGGAACTGCAGTCCCACCAGATGATCGCCGGCTCCATCCGCATGGTCTACTCGATCATCTACTCGCTGTTCCTCGGCTACGGTATCACGGTCGGGACGACCATTTACGGACTGATCGACGGTGCGGCCAGCTCGACGACCACGTGCCCGAACCAGGATGTCTACGGCAGCAAGTACACGCAGCACTTCGTCTTCGTCCCGATCTACGTCATCTTCCTCGCCATCATCAACCAGGGCAAGTGGAAGCAGGTGCCGGTCATGATCGTCATCGCCACCTGCGGCTACGTGACCAACTACTTCAGCACGCTTAAACTCGGCTCCAGCTCGGAGGTCGCCAACACCGTCGGCGCCTTCACGATCGGTCTGCTGGGCAACCTGTACAGTCGCCTGTGGCACGGCCACGCTGCCACGGCCATCCTGCCCGGTATCTTCGTGCTGGTGCCCTCCGGCCTCGCCTCCTCGGGCTCATTGCTGTCCGGTATCGAGTACGCCGACGAGGTGCGCGAAAACCTTAAGAACGGGACCAGCGCCAGCAGCACGACCTCGGACGCCAGTATCTCCAGCCTTGGTTTCGGCATGATCCAGGTGGCCATCGGTATTACGGTGGGACTGTTTGTGTCTGCCTTGATCGTGTATCCCTTCGGCAAGCGTCGGAGTGGATTGTTCAGTTTTTGAAAAAATCGCACCTTGCGTGTCTCTCTATACCCCCTCTTTGTGCTGTTTCCTTCTTCGTCAGTCTCCAGTATTGTTTTTTTTGTCTCGTCGTACAAAGTCTGATCAACCCCCTCATCATTCTTGTATTTATGTGGCCCCTCTCCCTGGTTTGGTCGATGTTATCCATGTTTGCATGTTTGCATGTTTGCATGTGTTTATGAAGTGCATTTAAGCAGGCTTTGCATTTTCCTCCCCTCTTGCCTTGTTGTTGATTTCTTTTCTCTTCTCGATTCTAGACGGTTTGCTTTAATTTCGGGGTGATATCTTAATGTTGCTGTGCTGCGAGGATGTTCGCCCAGAAGGGGAAAAAGAGCAATTTACTGGTTTAGATTGTTCCAGATATTCTCTATCTTCTAGATTTATATGTTGGCATCTAGAGCTATACCTATTCTTTCGTTTTGAAACTATACATTACATTATTCGTTTCTTTGTGTATATCATGCTTGATTGGTATCTTTTCCTGGGATCTGATATTATCTTTGGGATTTCTTACTTGAAGAATCGTAAATGTAAAAGTAAACGTCAAGGAAGTGAATTCAATGATGTGGTGTGATCACGGCCATAGCGAGCGGTCGCGACCGTCTCCTTACCGCGTGGCTTTCGATCTTGGAGGTTGCGTTGCAGCGGGTGAGCTGAAATAAGCTTGATAATTGCGATCCAGGGGTCTCGCCCATCTCCACCACAGTGTAAGCTGTATACCTACGTGGCGATGGGTTCTATCATAAAAATTGAAGAATAAAGGCCTGGAGCATTGCTTCGGCACCTACAAGTATACTGTTGGCCTGCACTATATATACGACGACAAGAGGATCTATTTACCAATACCCATTTCTCGAAACTGCATGAGTGCTAAGGAAAGTGTTCAAATGAAGAATCACTGGCTAATGTCGGGCAGGAAGAAAGACAATATCAAACCCCGAAAGAGGAAATAAATCAATGAGTCTAGATGTGCTGGTATGCATTAAGATGCGATGATTACAGTGACAACCACAATGTTTTCGAATAGGACACAGTCCAAGTGTTGAGGACCTCAGTAAGCCCCGACATTCCCTACTCCGGTGACACACCTCTTTGTGAGTCGGATGGAAAAGGGAGTCGGATGGTGAAGCTCGTAGGTCCAAAGCAGTGCGCGGCCGACTGCTCAAGCCCAGCGGTCGCCGTGGTTCCAGGTGTCCGAGAGCAGGCCGGCATCCCCCAATGAGCCCTCCACCGCGACACTCTCCGTCGCGGGAGTAGGTTGGCTGGACAGGTTCGACGCGCTTTGAAACAGGGTATCTATTGCAGCAGAAACACGAAAGACTTATCAGCATTCTGCACAGTTTTGAATATCACCACCCCGTATCCCCAAAGTCAAAGAGCTTACCAGTAGTTCCAGCCCCAAGCCCACTGCCACTGCCACCGCCAGCTGCCATCTCCGCTCGCCGCTGGCCTTCCGGATAATACCTCCCACCGGGATGGAGAGTCTGCGAAGTCTGAAAAGTGTGGGAAACCGCGAATCAGAAAAGAGAAGTTTTCGAACAACACGGAAATGATGTCTGTGTGTGTGTGTGTGGCCTTGTTTGCAATCATACCGGCGAGGGGGCAGTATCCCACAATCTGTATACTGTACATTGCTGCCGGCCCATCTGATAATCTTTTTCTGGTGTGTATGCTCTTCGCACCCCTCCCTCGTGTTCCCCTCCCAAAATATAATAATTTGGCCCCACCCGAAATGATAAATACAAGAACAGAATTCACGAACTGGTACTACTGACTTCTTGAAATTCTTCCCCCTTGATCTCCACCTCGCGATCCCGGATGCGCCGCATCAGCGCCAGGAAGTTACTCTCCCGGAACTTCTGGCTGGTGTCGTGCTTGAGACTGTCAACGAGCTGGCCGGCCGTGCGCGCGAGCGCGTCGGCGTCGTGGGCTTGCGCTTGGGGGTCGGTGCTCTTTTCCGTGGGCGGGATGGTGTCGGAGCCGATCTTGATTTGCTCGATCGGGGCCTGTTGTTCGGTTGTGAGGTCGGCGGCGGTGTCTTGATGGGGCGTGATGGTTGTTTCTTCTGCGGCGACGGTCTCGGTCGCTGTCTCTTGGGATGCTATCGCTGCGCTGGCCTGCGCGAAGGCGGCCTCGAAGGCGGATTCGTCGAAGGTTGCGGTTGGTGGTGGTGCTGCTGCTGAGGATAGTTGGGGAGCGGGTGTCGCGTGCCGGGGATGAAATCCCATGAGGTGCATTCTTCTGTCCCCGGGCCTGAATGAGGATTCAAAGTCTTTGGTGTGAGCGAGTGGGTGATCTTGTTGCATCGTGGGCTGTTGTTGATGTTGATGCTGAAGAAATTCAGTGTGCCAACCCTGTTGGGAGGCGGAGGAGAGCGGCGCATGCGATACGTTAAGTTGTTGATGGTGTACTGCCGATGGGCCCGCGATGTTCAGTCTTTGAAAGTCGGTCGCCCAATTCGGCGATTCCGCGTCACCGGCGAGGGGGAAGTGAGGCGTGGGGGCGGCAAAATGAGTCGGATGTTGGAGATCGCGAAGTGGTGCAGGCGCGAGATTGGACTCGAAAGCAGCGAACTCGGGGTCAAGGATGCCTGTGCTGGGATTGTGATTCCGGAACCCCTGACAACGACAACGATGAGGTTAGTAATGTGACTTTGGCTCAGACGGCTAAAAGGCTCCATACCTGAGAGGGTGCCTGCCGTGAAGTCAACCTATCTTGCTGAAGGGTCCGATCGGTCGAGGCATGTTTCTGAAAGTTTTGAAGCGCGTTCGAGGGTCCACAGAGAGCGTCACTCATGATGTCGACCGAGGTTGTGCCTGCGTGGGCACCGGAGAAGCCAGATAAGGCGCGTTTGAATCTGGAGTGGTTGAATTGGCTAGACGACGAGAAATGACCTTTGAAAAGAATATAAGAACCAGCTAGATATATGCAGTGAAGCTCTCCTTCTGCGTTAACTGTCTGACCTCAAGGTTGCAAGAACAGCGCACAAGCTTTATGGCAGACAGGCGAGTTCGGAGGACAAAAGAGATAAGATGGCGGGCGTGGACGGTGGGGTAAGGGTAGCCCGTTCATGCCGAGGCCCCCTCTCTCACGTGCCGTCCGCTTATGTCATTCGCCCAATTCTCGGTCGCCAGGATTGTCTGTGAACACAGTTCACATGAACTTTTCTTTGTGTACACGTGGAACGTTCCCGCGGCACGTGATGCCAAGCCCTTTATATAAGCAGGAACGTTCCACACGACCCTATAAATTACTGTTTTTTATTATTGAAATTCAACTTCCTCTTATATTTCTCCAAGTTCATTACACACTTTATTTCAAGCACTTACCAAGTACTTTATAAGTACCTACCAAGTACTTTCTAGACATGGATTTTCATGAAGTTATTGAACTTAGTTCTACGGAAGAGGAATACTCAACCCAGGTAATTTCCTAAGTAGTTATCAAGTACTTAGAAATTAATTTATATCTAGGAACCGTCACCATTAACCTTTCTGACTCAGGCAAAGGCATCACCTTTAACTACTCAGTTTATAGAGTATATTGATGATCTTCCTGAGTATCCAAAAACTGCACTATGTGGATATACATATGTAGTTCCATCACATGGACTTTCAAATACTGAAGTCAGCGCTCTAATTAGTG